TCAAATAAATCAAATAAACCTAATGTATGTTGTAGAAAATATTCTATGAAAAAAAAGTTGTTGCACGAAATTTACTTTGTCTCAATTTCTTAAGTGTATAACAAAATTCGGACTTTTCAAAATGCTAAGGCTCAGCCAATTTTCAGTTTAAGAAAAAACCGGCCGATAAGTTTTGAAGCTTGAGTCATGAACAATAAAATTTATCGGTTAAATTTTTTAAAATGAGATAAATTTTTTTTGTTTTAGTATTTTGAAGTTGACCAATTGTTATTATAAGCAATTAATGATTATAGATGATTGATTATCTCTGCAATTTTAAAACACGAATTAATAATACTATTATTATTAATAAAAATTACTAATCGCAAAATAAAAAAATCTATAAAAATCCAACAAAAAAATTAAAACAATTATTGAAATAAATGATAATTTCTATGTCGAATTTCAATGAAGAAAATCAGGATGAAGAAGACATCGAAGAGACATCTCCTATTTCAAGTCAAGATGCTTTATTGCAGGGTTGGCAAATTGACTGGTCCATTGAGAACAGATGGATTTTGGACTGGTCCATAAAATACTAAATATGGTTAAAGTGTTACACTGATGGACCACCAATAGATCAATTTGCCAACCCTGCTTTATTGGCTATTGAAAAGGTAAACTTGTGTTAATATATTGATTGCAACACAAAAAGATCTACTAAATAAAAAAAAAAAACTTGCCAACCATCAAAAAAGCCCCTTTTACAAATTTTAAATTTTGTTATTTTGAATCTCATTAAATATAAATTCTTGTTTAAAATAAAATTGAATAAAAAAAAAGATGGCAAGAGTATTTATAGATGCACGTTGTCATCATTGTGGTTCTATTGGACATAAAAAATTTGATTGTACAGAACGATGTCGAGTTGGTTGTAAATGGTGCGAGAATCCTCCAACTCGTAGACCACCAGGTGTTGCATCTCAACGAAACAATGCTAATTTTTCTGGTAATGCTATATCTTTAATTTAATTATTTAATTTATAATATACATAATGATTACAATGCATGCATAATTAATATATATTTGTTTAATATAGTCGCAAATAAAGAACCAATTTCTATTACTACAAGCAGTTTACCATCTGCTTCAGGTACTATTCAATTGACAGGGAATAGTATGTCAGTTACAAGATCACAAAACATTGCACCTAATAATACGGCAACGCTTTTAACTACATCTTTAAGTTCTTTAATGCCTCAACAGTTGGGTGCAGCTAATTGGAATCTCATTCCACATCATCAACAACAACAGCAACAGCAACAGCAACAGCAACCGCCGCAACCGCCGCCACCACCGCCACCGCAAACTAATCAACCTTTAATTTTTAATACTAATAATCTTCTACCACAATCTCAATTTATTTTTCAACCAAATGCTACTAATAATAATAATAGTAGTAGTAGTAATAATAACAATAGTAACAGCAATAATAATAATTTGAATTTATTTTCAAATAATAATCCTCATTTTATGAACACTGCTAGTCAACAAGCAACCGGTGCTGTTACAACGTCTGCCACTTCGCCAACTACAACATCTATTATTCAATTATTTAATAATAATTGGAATAATAATAATAATACAACTACCACTTCACAACAACAACAACAACAACAACAACAGCAGCAGCAGCAGCAACAGCAGCAGCAGCAACAGCAACCATCAAATATAATAACTTTTCCAGGTATTAATCAATCTGATCAAAATTATCTTTTAATTACCGTTATCATCATCCTCACAAAAATTAATGATAAAATTTGTTGAACTAAAAACAAAATAGTTATTGGTTCAACATTTGCTTCTGCTAATAATAATAATAATAATTCACAGGCTATAATACCACCACCACCACCAATCACGCTTCCATCACAACTTCCACTCCCATCGAATCAAGGTGTCAATAAAATATTTAGTACAAAGTCTACTTCCAACACAGTGATAAATCTGCCGTCGTTGTCGTCGTTGTCATCGTCATCATCATCGTTGATGGATATTAACAACAATATTAATTTGACGAACGATAAACAACCTAATACTTCTCTAGCTCAAGAAGGATTAGGAAGTTCAAGGCTTCCGTTCCAAGAAAACCAAATTACTAATCAATTAATAGGAGTTGGAGGAGGAGAAAGAAAACCTGGTGAAACATCTACTGAAATAATCAACCAATTAGAAAAAATTAAAAGCCAAGTGGAATCGAATCAACATCCCAAAATCAAACCAAACAACAACAACAACAACAACAACAACAACAACAACAACAATAATTTATGGACCAATGATTCCTTGACCATTGGTGGTAATAATAATAATATTAATGCTTTTTACAATTATAATAATAATAATAGTAGTAGTAGTAGTAATAACCACAATAATAATGGTAATGTTATTATTAACGGAATTCAAAGCAACCCATCACAATTTGAACCTGGGAAAATTTTTACAATTAATCCACCAAATGGAAATCATAATAACACAATAATATCGAAAGAAAATAATAATGATGATAGTAATAATAATGACAATAATGACAATAATGAAAATGAAAGCAATAATAATAATAACAATCGTTTTATAAAAATCGAGGCAAATAATAATAATATGGATAATAGTATGAATAATATTAATAATAATGGGTTTGTTTCTAATATTAAAAAACTTTCATCGTCATCATCATCGTCGTCGTCGTCATCATCGTCATCATCGTTAGAAAATATTAAAAAATTTAATTCTTCGAACATCATCTCACCTAAAGATTCTTCTTCTAACCATCATTTATTAAGAATAAACAGTAGCAGGTCGTCACCTTTAGGATATAGGAATGGAACTGAGAAATTTACTATGAACACAGATTATTATAGAACAGGAGCAGGAGTAGGAGGAAATAATAATAATAATAGCAGTAATAATAATAATAATAATCATAATAATAATAATAATCATAATCATAATAATAATGATCGGATACAACCACCACCATCACCGTATATTATAAACCATCACCATCATCAAAGATCTAATAGAGCTAGGTCAGCTAGTCCCAGAAAAGATAATAATAACAATAGTTTTGAGTATTCTACTAGTCGTGGTGGTGGAGGATATTATCGTGAAGAGGCAAAATCGACTTCCCCCAATAGGTATTATTACAATAATCGTTCTGTTGCAACAGCGACAGCAGATTATGATGAACGTTATCATGCAAGACATCCAGAACAAGATTTTCGTAGCAATGAAAAATATTATAATAATAATGATGATAATAATAATAATAATAATAATAATAAATATTACCCAGTCCGGTCTGTTTCTGTTGCTCCTCCTTATGAAGAATATTATCCTAGATACAATAACGTTAATATTAATAGCAGTAGTGGCAGTGGTAGTAGTAGCAATAATAACACATATCGAGAGTATGATAGTAGAGAACAAATATTGAGTAGAACTGCCAGATCACATTCCCCATCATTATTGTATAATAGTAATTCAAGGTCTATAAATTATGAAGAAGACTATTATGGATATCGATTAAGCGAAACTAATAATAATAATAATAATTGGTATAGAGACAATAATAATGATCGTGAATATCATAATTTAAGACAAGGGACATATTACGATGATAATAGGTATAATAATAATAAACAAAGAGACCGAGTTTATACTGATCGTTCAGAAGGATATCTTGAAAGAGATTATAATAGACCTGAATATGACTATTCATTGCGTAGACGGCAATGGTAAAAAAATTTTTTCTTTAATAACAATAATGAGTTTTCTTCTTATTATATAAAAATGTATAATATATATATAAAATAATATTTATAATAAAAAATATAAAATGTAAAATCTTTATGATATCGCTCTACACGAGCCGAGCCCAGGTTAATACTGTTAATACTTCAACCTATAATTTATAAGCCAAATTTTTCTCTCTAGCAAGGGTTTAAAAATTAAAAATGGGCATACTCCAAAGTTTGGTTTGATTATATTTATTTTTATAGCAAAAGATGTATAAACATTTACAAATGGTTTCTTAGTTTGTTCATATGATTTTCATTAATAAAATTCACACCATTAACATCATTTCTTTTTGAATTTGACTTATCCGAAATCTCTTTCCATTCATCATTTGAAAAATTATTTCTAAGCCATGGGTAAGGATTTGATGTGTCAACAATTGAAGAAACTATTGGATCATCATAGTTCAAGTGATCTGGTGCATATCTGTCTATTATGTGGTTTAATCTAAGTTGCAGTACCATTTGTTGTTGAGTTGCAGCTGATGGTAATGACACATTATTTACAACATTTTCTATTGGTGCGAATGCTTTTCTTTGAAAGAGCCACGGCCAATCTGACACCTTTTCAGCCTGAAATAAATAAAAATAACAAATAAATCAATTGATTTTATTATCAGATTAAAAATATAAACCATCAAATGGATCAATATTTACATCAAGCTCCATTATAACAACAGTGAATCCTCCCTAAGTGCACCCTCCCTAAATGCACGCACTATGTATACCCTCCATAAATGCACGCTCACAAGAAATAGCACT